GGTAGTTGGCTGAATCAACATAGTAGTTGGAGGGGGAACAGATGCAGTTGGGGGGTTCAGCAAAGATGGAGCAGTACCCCCTGCCTTGATAAGAGTCGTCAAAGCCGAAGGAGCCGATGAAGATATCGCAGGAGAAGACGAGGGAACCGTGGGATCAGTGATTTCAGGGACAGATTCGACCCTAGGTTTCTTGGCTTGATGCTCAGCAGCATTATCATCCGAGGGCGGAGTAGGTTCGCGGGTTCGTTTGAGGCTGGTACTGGGTGGTATCGCAGTAGGAGGTGGAATGGGGGAGGTCGACTCAGGTTGCTTGGCGGGGACGATGGAAGGTATGCTCTGGAAACTGGATGCTGGAGTGATACTTGGAGTGGTACGAGTAGTAGACGTCGATCCGTTTACCCCACCCTCAACGGAAACAGAGCTGGAACCACCATTTGAAGTCGGACGAACATCTTGCATCGCATCGTCCGAGTCTCCAGGCTCCAAAGGATGGGGTAAGGGAACAAGGCCACGAGGGGTCATAACCCAATAATCATCCAGATCGTAGTCGTCGCCGTCGCCGTCATCCTCTTCGCCATCGTCCTCCAAATCACCGTCGTCCTCGTCCTCGCCATCCTGCTCTTCTTCCTTCTTCTTCGCCTCCTCCTCCACTCTCGATCCCTCAGCCTCCATAATCGCAGGTGGGGATTCTGGGTCGACAGTAGTGCGAGACAAATCAATAACCGAATCCGCATCCACTGCTGAGCCATTAGCACCACGCGCCCGCTCATCACCATTGACAGCACCAAAATCTTCATCAGCAGCACCGTTGACACCCAACCCGCCTTGTTCCTCCAACAGCTCAATCTTCACGTCTATAGGCATATGCGATGTCGACCTCTTTTTCGATTTTACTTTTTTCGTACTTCGTTTAGGAGGCGCGGTAGGTTGTCCTTCGTTGGTGGGGGTTGGACTGACGTCAGCTGGTGCGTTCAACTCCCTCGCCCGCTCCCACTCCTCGTTACCCCAAGTCCAAGCCCCGTCGACTTTTTTGAGGCCCATGGTGAACTGTTCAGCTGTGTTTCCATGCTGGATTTCGTCCATAGTCAAGAGAAAGCCCTTGTGGCCTTTGAGTGCCCAACGGACCCAATCTACGGGAGCATCATCAGCAAGAGTAAGACGATTCACAAACTGCAAAAACATACCATACTTGAGAACATCGATCTCATACTCCTCCTCCGCAAACTCATGCCAAAACTTCCTAACGCTCCACTCCCTGCTAACCATCCATTTTCTATAAAACCTCGTAAGCGCACGATCAAACATGGGACATCTCCACGATTTATCCATCGTCCCACTCTCCTGCTTCATCTTGAGCGCATCGCGGAGAAAATGCTGACACAACCTCGAGAGATGTACGATGTCGAACTTGTACTCGTCCCACTCCGCGAGGGGGTTCGCGGATGTCAAGACGAGCCGAAGAGACTCCCATTGAAATTTTGCGACGAACAAGAGGGGGACGCGGTATTTCTTTGGAAGGGACACCACACGTTGTTCAGTTGATCCCTCGGAAGGGGGGAGAGTAAGGTCAAATAATTGTTGAATCTTGTTATTATCTCGCGGTGGCACCGAAAAGACGTTTTGGCGCAGATACGTGATCATCGTGTCCTGCGGCCAATCCTGACGACGCACATAATCAAGCTCCGCGGGGTGTTTCCACGGCTTGGCGGTCCCCCCTTCCCCCTCTGACGAGCCGGGATTGTTGGTGGTAGGAGAAGAGGAGGTTTTGTTGTCGCCACTGTTATCGCTGCGGCTCGAAAGGGACGACGTATCAGAACCGGACGACTCTGGTGTAAAATGAGTTTTTGTTCTTGATTGTTTCGTCGGTGAAGTGAGGAGATGTGCCGTTCCACCGACGACGGCGACCTTCGGGACCCGAGATGAGCGACGGGTGTTGTTGGGGTTCCCGGATGATGTTTCACTCGACGACGGCATCCTTGGCGAGGTAGATGTTGGAAGCGACCCGGGGCTGTTGACCAATACGAGAGGCGACGATGAGGAGAACCTTGTGCACGACGCTGAGGACGACGAGGACGAGGTATTGATTGGTTGGTCGTAGTAAGGGAGCAAGATGAAAATGACAAGTACATGTTGAAATTGAACAGCCAAGCCAAACAAATAACTCCAGCACCATAATGACTCCTACGAGTTCCATTGCGCACATACGCCCCTTGTCCTCTTCCCAAAGTATATAGAAGGCCCGGTAATGCTTTATAGTAAGGGGGACCCACAAAAACGACAAATCGCGCTCGATCAGGCTTGATCGGCAGTAATCAGATTACAGCGCGCCTCCGTCTTTTGTCGTAGCGGTGGTCTTCGACACTACTGTTAATCCGCTCAACGCTCAGACCAGCACACGGAGACAACACCAACCAGCTCAGAGCATTGCCCGAAAATTCTGACGTGGCAACCATACTTCATACATCAGGTCAGCTGATCACAAAATCTCTCACCACGATTACCACATCCTTCCAGCACTATCTCGAAAGATTCCAGCAGTAAGTACTTACACACCTCGAACCGCATTTCCGATAACTAATCAACCTCATGCATCAAGGTTTGGCGTGATGTCAGCGCTTTTCGTCGCCTGCAAGTCATAAAGTTCAAATCTTATCTCTGACGGACCAAAATTAGCCAAGAATGGCGACATCTTCTCGTGCTCTGGTCACCTTTTGGCCTCGAAGGGAGCTGGAAGAAGGCTGAGACGATCTGACGAGATTCTTTTTCTCTCGGAGCCGAATGTGAAAATCGGCCAATCAAAACCTAGCACGCATCGAATGCAAACCTTGACGCAACGTCAACGCTCGCGTTCTATGTAACTCCTTATCTCAACCACCAGAAGTCTAACTTATTAACCATAGGCACGGGCTCCCAAAGTAAAGTCCCTCGGAACTGACCAACTAACCATTCCAAAGCTGTACGACCCACAACCAATCAACCCTCCGAAACGCCCCCACTTTCCGAACCTCCGTCCCAAAACAAACACCATTACACCTGTGAAGCCCACAATCAACCGCCCATCGCACGCAGTCCCCCCTTCCCAAAATACTCCCTTCTTTGGCTCCCGTCCGCACCGCAGCCATGAAACTCGTGATCAAAACACGCGGCCACCCCCTTCCATAAAAACGCTCCCATTCCCCGGGTCCCCGTCTCAGTCCCAAAACCATGACCTCAGGTCTACCACCACTCTGATTCGTTATGTGCTCACTGCACAGCGCTAAATCTAAACCTAAGACTACAGAGCCTCTGGGCGTCAAAATGTCAAGACCAACCCGCCTTTTCAACATTTGGCATGCACTTCAGGACTTGTGTATATTAATCACATTACACCCACCCGGACTCCGACTCCGCCGGAATCACGCATATAATCTCATCTCTATTCTTATTATTTGATATCTGACTGCTGCTCAGCACTAATAGCTCTCAAAGTTCGTGGACCGCATTACGACTGGCAAGAGCTCCGAGAGGTCGGCGCTTCATACTTCGCCTTTTCACTAGGTAACTCTCAACTAAATTTGTAGAGTTGGCTAAGTTTAACCACCTCATGTCCATAAGGAACCGAAGCCTGGCACGTTCGCGCGTCACAGATCTTTCGGCCCGAATTTTTATAAGAAAATAGGCAGATAACAAACGAACTTCATCGATCAGTATCACCAACGGTTCTAAATTTGCGGCCATTCAGTTCATACATCTGAACAACCTTTATAACACCCATGGTTCTAACTTCTGCGGCATCTGTTATCCAAACAACCTTCCGAATTCCTGGATCCTATCAAACGCTACACACCCTTTGCTTCCAGATACTTAGGCTGTTGGGCTCTAAAAAATGCGTACACCAATACTCCTGCCGTACTTGATCAGCCTTCTACGGTAGATCTCATCAACGCAACGAAACACCCCTCACTCCCGTACTGTACAACCTAATTCACAGAGTCCGGCGCCATTAAGACCTGACAACCTGCAGGGCGCCCATTGGAACCACCGATGATACAGAATAAGAAGAGCTCTGGGCTTTGATTAATCCGTTCTGTTGAACACTGGTGTGGACAGCTGCTACCTGGGCGAGTCCGAGTCCCCCACACATATTCAACTTGAAATCAAGAGGATAATTTTGCGCACTACAAATTGGAGTCAACAAGGTCCTAGATCTCGTGCTCTAGGGAATAAATGCCGGCGGCGGAACTTGTGCAAGCGTTGGTCGGATTACTAGAATAACCGGGCTTCCAGAAGTATTGATATACGAATCGGAGTTGCGAGATGGTCATTGCTCTTCGAAGCGCGAAGGTGATCGCTCTCTGTGATTATTCTGAAGCCCTCCTTTGAAAAGTTTATAGGAGGTCAATATAAGTACCCCGCCTTGAACTCGGGAACCTGAAATTGATCGATTGCACGGCGACTTTTACCTGTGTTTTTGTTTTTTTTAATTAAAGGTATATCCACGGAAGGGCGCTTCCATGTCCGTTTCAGTATGACTGATCTCCTCAATTTACACAACACTCAAATCGCCAAGCCGTGGCTGATAAAGGCGCAATAAAGGGAGGATGTATGATCTTTTGTGCCCTTTTTGCAAGGATTTAGGGGGGGGACTGTCGATAGATAGTACCGATACTGAAAGAATTTCTTGTTCTTTTTCCTCTTTCCGAGTCGTTCGAAGAATCACTCATCTATAGTTTCCGTTGGTGAGATTTACTGGAAGATTAAGTTTGTAGTCCTTGACGTAAAAAGGGTCACTCAAACCCTTACTAGATTTCCTTAGGTATGCGAAACGGAACGCGTGGCACTGGAGAACTTCAACCTGGCCTTGTGGCTTGTGAGTGGCAACAATTTGAATTTGCCTCATTGCACGGTCACGTGGTCTGGATGACTCGAACTTTTCCCAACGCCATTGTCCCATCGCCCACGTTGTGGCAATTTCATTGTATAAATATCGCCGCTCTACATTTTCTCTACCTATTCCACCCATGACGGACACTACTCCCGTAGCTCTCTTTATGGAGCGGAATCTCATACATGTGTTTCGACTCCTCTACCAACAATCTCTCGGGGACCTACACGAAAAGCATCATTGCTCTCTGAAATACCCTTGCAAGATCTCCTCGGAGGCACTTAGGCCATTCTACGCGCTGCGGATGGTTTGCAAATCCTGGGATAAGATCTACGGCGGCTTCTCCAACGAAGACGCGCCTTTCTTTCACGGAAAAGTAGATAAGGGCTGGGATGTCGACAGCCACGTTCGCCGGGGTATTCTCCTAAAACGATATCGCGTTTACGAGACCGTTCAAGCAGATGATGGCGAGTACCTTCTTCAAAGTTTGTCTTCCAACTCTTATGTATAGGATTATAGGCCACTATATGGGCGTATACCTTGCCCATGACTTTGGCCACGACGGTGGATGCCCAACCTCCCGATCAGTCATCGTCAAGGCGTGGTCTTCGTCCAGCGATTCAGAATGCCGAACGGAAACTCGGGCTTACTCCATCCTTAAAAAGGCGGGCATACGCGGAACGCCCGGGGTCCTGAAAAGCGAATATTGCCACCAGTGTTCTGTTGTAGCCATAGTTATGGAGCATCTAGGGCCCACTCTAGGAACAGTACGACAGTGGCTCCCAGGGCGGAAATTTACGGAGGAGATGGTTCTGGCTGTTGCAATCGAGATGGTGAGTATCTGACACTCGTCGGCGACCCCTCAATTCAAATATCGGACCTTCCAGCTTGACAGATATTCTTCCATTCATGCCGTAGGCATCGTACACAACGGCGTGAAGCCCCAAAATATCTGCATTGCACCATCCCTCGACGAGTCGAACGGGTCTACTATCTACATCATTGATTTTGGCTTCTCGAGCTTTTTCGATGTCAACGAGCCCCGCCTATCCACAACATGTGGTTCAGGGACCGGCAACCGCCTCTTTGTGAGCGCCTTGTCTCATATCGGAGTTAGTACGTTGAATCCCCTTCCCGTTTCTTTCACATTTTGATATTGTCTCGTTAGCGCAATCTCAGCGCTGTGATCTTGAATCTCTAGCGTACCTCCTGGCGTACCTTTATCATGGCTCTTTGCCGTGGACGTCCAGTGATAGTCAGCGTGCAAAAATGTCCACTCCCGCTGCAACCATTTTTCGTGACATGGATGCCGCCTTTCTACATTTTTGGAAGGACATTCGTTCCCTCGCTTTTGGCGAGAAGCCAAATTATTCGGCAATGAAGACGCGCTTTGAAGATGTATGGAGAAGACGCGCCTACGAGAATCAGCCTGGAAAGCTCAATTGGATTGAATTGCTTGAGAAATTGAAAACTGATCAACGAAGAGTGGCTACAACAACTTCGTCTACGAGTCGACTCGTTCCGATTTTTGATCCGTCAAAATCTATCGTCGCGGCCTTCGACGAAATCCATGGATGGAATCGTCTTGATATTATTCTGCAAATTCCACACAAATCTAGTGAACCCGCACCCTCGCCGCTGGGGTTCGTTGTTTTCTTCCTCGTGTATCTCTTCTTCTGGCAAACCCTCTCATTCCATTGTCTATGGTTCGTCGTGTGCAACTGGTATTTCCAACCTTCTTGGATCGCGCAGGAGCTCAATGGGTGCGCTGACCTTGTTCTGAATTACTGGACAAGGCGAATTGAGCGAATGAAGAGCACGGCATCCGGAGTAGAGCCACACAATTTTCTCAGAACTACGTAATACTTGAAATCTGTATTTGGTTGGCAACGGTACACAGCCCCGTCTTTGATCATGGCCATGTCCCTGAGCGCTTAAAGTCATCTCTCTCCTTTTACCTTCAACCAATATTCCTATGCACGCATTCAGGTCGAGACAGACGGATGGCAAAGGGTAAGTCCTAAGTTTTCGCATTTCCATCTGCTCGTCTTGAAGCCCTTCATTCAATCAGGGCGGCCCCCCCGCCGTACCAAAATGTTTCTCCAATGTGGAGGAACGATTCCCCTCAGCCTCAACGCACTGCTAGGAGGAACACCGAACCCGATAGCTCAAACGCCAATTTCAAAATGATTGCATTTTTCATTTTCCTTGTAATCGTTCTTGGATTCCTCAGCATGTTTGAACCGACAGGAAGTGGGAAGGCGGTACTGAAGCTCAGTGAGGAGGATAAAGCGCACAAGATTTTGAAGGATACTGTTGAGCGTGAGCGTATCGCGTGGAAGGAAGAGCGGAAAAAATTGCAACAGCGCGTTAAAGACGACAAGAAGAGGGACAAGGTGAGAAAGGCGATGGAAAGGGAAAGGTTACAGTGGGAGAAAGAGAGCAAGAAACGCGAAAAGTTGAGATCAAAGTACCAGAAGGAACTTAGAAAGGGGGAGGAGAAATGGAAACAAGAGCAGGACAAAACGAAGCAGTGGCTCGAGAAACAGAAGAAGGAGAAGGCCGAAACCGTATCTAGTGATTCTAAAACTTAATGCATTCCCCTCGATCCCGCTTTCATCCGTCAGACATGTGTCCTTGACGAACATCGTTCAATGGCTATCGGTCCTTGGGGCGTCGTCAGGACGTGAGAAGTGGTTAGCCTTCAGATCTTCAGATTCACAAGCAATCTAGATCAACGGTTAGGTAGAAAAGGGACCCTCGCGAGGTGTTGAGATTGTAATACCTAAATACGCCATAACATGAAGCGTAGATAACCGGAATACGAACTACAGAACGATGCGAATGTTATTTGATGAACGAGATCCACTTGAAATTCCAAGACAAATTGACTCTTCCTTGATGATGTAGATATGAACAATGGCCGAATACCTATGTAGATTATCAACTTCTATTCCTGGCACACCCAGCAGGTTGCACTATTCTCTTGCGCTGTAAGGAGGGGGAGGGGGAGACCTACCCCGGAGATGGCGGGGAGGAAGGCCATTAGGGCGGGCGTTAATTGTATCAGGTGAGCTTTGCCCATATTGGACGACATTGAACTGGGGACTATGAGTGAAATTTCCTCCCGTAAACACGGCATCTTTGATTCCCGAAAATACGTTTGATTCTAAAACAATATGAGTTTTGTTTTCGTGGTTCCCACCTCGCTCTGGATTGACCACGGTTCCAGAATTTACAATTCGGGTAACATTAACATTCCCGAACGAATCTATATTCTTGATTGTACGACCACCGTTGGACGTATAAGTGACATTCACGGAGCCACCACAGTTGGTAAAAGTTCCTCCAGAAAGCGTGATATTACTCGCTCCTGAGAACATACTGATCTTTCGGGTAACTTTGGGTCGAACTGGAGGGTGGGGGCGGCATAAATATTGCGATTCTGGGGTATGAATGTTCGGGGACGCTGAGGGATGGACGTGTGGTGGTCCTGGGGAATAAATATTGGAATTTGCGAGGTTGTTGAGGTGGGAGGTGCGATTCAAACGATCTTGTATGTCCTCTGCGTCTTCTGAGGAGCAAATGGTCATCGCCTCAATCTCGTTAGGCGTGCTCGGCTCTTCTATCGACATGTGTGGGGTGCCGGGGTTGACATCGGTACACGTAACACCGCAATTGACGTTGCTCACGCAGGAGCTCGTGTTTCGCTCACGATCAACATTGCTAGCCCAGCGACGTATTGCGTCGCTTCTTATAGGGTGCATCCGATATACGACGTTGCCAGCGTCAACCTCGTTTTCGGGGGACTGAATGTGAAGAGCTGCACTTTTGGTGAGCGAATCTAAAGGCATAAATCAAAATAAACGGCGCACCTTGGTGGCTACCTGATGTCATGGTAGAGTGAAAAGGCGCTGCTTCACTGTTAGAACTTTGGAACCCATTGGTTTATATACCAAAATTATGCTGTGAGGCCACCATGTGAAGCACATCACCTGAACTGTATCAATAAGAAACGACAAAGTTTTGAGAGTACCCCATTTTCTACCCCCTTTTGTGCTTTAAAGAATTATTTCCATTAATTAGTCGTCACTAGACTCACTATGTGTCAGTCTGCTCTGACTTCGTCGATTCTGGGTCGCTATGCGGCTACAGCAGCAGTGCGCACGTATATCAGATCTCAAAAGCTGAGCTCTTTCTGCAAAATAAGGTTAAGACCATGGGGCAGAAATGTCGCGATCGACTTACTACAGCATCAACCCAGTGTCGGGGAATCGCATATCGTTGCGCTGAAAATTCGATTACAGTGCGAGATTGCACCCTAAAAGAAATTTGACTGATGTCCACGCTGCAGGGCCTCTGACATCCAAGGTCAATACAAATACAAACAGATTCGGAGTCTAAACTCACACAAAGCAGTAAAGGCTGGTGACAGGTCTGTAAGCTGTGCAAAAGAAGTTCCGAAAGGTGTTGACCAGGTATGGGGGTCCCGCATCAGGATTGTAAGTCTAAGGTGGTCTAGGGTGGTCTACTGTTAAGTAGGTCTCGTCGGAATGTGCTTTTTAGCCGGCGGGTTTCCACGAAAGGAGAGGGATGAATGTTGCAAAGTTGATGTCCGCTTCCCGCGTGCGTTGGTGCACTGCCACTGCCGTCACAATCACTGGCATATCACTCAAAATTTCAGATCTCAATGGTCGTCCACTACTTAGCACAAGTATTTCGAATTCTTCAGCGTTTCGGCAGTGCTATGGTTGACTATTATTTTTCGAGAATGGTCGAGAGAATAGGCACCTGAGGGACGACACCCCCATTTAGCTGTGCCTCGCATAGTGCTCAATGGGAATTTCTTACTCGAAAAATGAGGTACAGGCTTCTACATCTTAGGCTGTTCCTCACATCGTCGGTCTGTGCAGTTGGACTTACTGTGACGGTTCGAGATACAGTGGCGCTCAAATGAAACGCAACTGATAAAATTTGAGATTTCTCAACAACTGATGTTGCGATTTGACTATCAAAGTGTAGTCCCAAAGTACTCTCTGGGGTGGTTTTTATGAGGTGGTTTACAGGATATAAAGTGTGCATGGTTCTCCCTTGAGGGGTTTATCTTTGAATCTGTCAATTTTGAACTTTCTCAATAATTTTTTTCATGGAATTTGAAGTAGGCCATCTGAAAGAACCTTTTTTCTGAGTAGAATAGCATTTTGTTTGATCAAAAAATGTGGCCATATTCATGAGTTATAGGCTGTCAAAAGTGGCCATTTTGTATATTTTATGGCATTTTTATTAAAAATAGCCGTTTTCAGCCCCATGTTGCTCATGAACAAAGGGTTGTTTTTTGATCAAACAAAATGCTATTCTACTCCGAAAAAAAGGCTCTTTCAGATGGCCTACTTCAAATTCCATGAAAAAAATTATCGAGAAAGTTCAAAATTGACAGATTCAAAGATAAACCCCTCAAGGGAGAACCATGCACACTTTATATCCTGTAAACCACCTCATAAAAACCACCCCAGAGAGTACTTTGGGACTACACTTTGATAGTCAAATCGCAACATCAGTTGTTGAGAAATCTCAAATTTTATCAGTTGCGTTTCATTTGAGCGCCACTGTAAGTGGACTCGGAGGCTCTTATTTTATCACCCGTTATGCTCAATCTCCACACCTATCTTTCCAATAGTGTGACGATATTTGATAAACCCATTGCGTGTGTTCTGGATCATCGCTTCGCTCTTGTTGTTTTTTGGTTGTTTTTCTGGCCATCATTCTTGTTGTTTACGACAAGGGGCCTCCAATGGAGGAATCCGAAAGATCAATCCCTCCCGAGAGGTCGTGAGAATGTGCCTGCGTCCAACCTGCGTCACACCCGAAATGGGCGGCGCCGAACGTGTGATCATCGCATCTCTCTCCCTCTGAGTCCCTCATAGTCACAATCCTACTTGCATCCTCGTAAGTAGTACGTATTTTACGAGCTTCTTGTTCTCTTCTCACTTGGCTCGACTATTTAAACGTTGCTGCTATTTCTCGCTTTGCCGAATAAACTTTGTTTGTTGAGCGACAGAAAGTCAACCAATTGGATAATTGCCGACAATGAAGTAATTCAAGATCAAGAGAGTTTTATGAAGCAGTGTCTTTCACGGTGGTTGACCATGGTGTTCATTTTTTGACATTGTTAGATGCATGTACGATTTGAGATAATGCAAGATATTGTAATACAAGCTATTTATTTATCTACTAACCTAGTGAAAGATTCAAATTGTTCTTCGCGAGGTCAATTGTGGTATATAAGGTGTGAGATGCGACGAAGGGAAACACAAACCAGAGGATGATAAAATATGGTGGATGAGTCGCATCGGCTTTCGTTTGGGTGTGACTCAGGCACGTTCTCACGACCTCTCGGGAGGGGTTGATCTTTCGGATTCCTCCATTGGAGGCCCCTTGGTTTACGATCATCGTAGCGAGTGTGGGAAATTACCCAAACCCTTTCCTTGGACAGATGCTAAGTATTTACAGTAGTTAGGAGCAACACGACGCAATATTGACAAGTTGGACTTATTCTGTGTCGAAGTCCCTGTAAATTATGGTTTAGTTGCAATTGGCAGCGCTCCACAGTGGGAATCTTGCTTGATTTTTTTGGGTGCTACTCTACTAGTATCGGGTGTTTCAACTTCACCTTTCGGAATTCTGTATTATGTACAACGACAGTGCATATTGGATACAGGGGAACGATAAAAATTACAGGACCAGCTCAAGAAAATCAAGTCATCACACTGCTGATCGTTCTCGTTCCGAGCCGTAGGCGCAGAGTAGGGCAATGCAACAGTCGGTCGACGAACCTCTCCGTCAATCATACAGAAACCGGCTGTTGAGCATCCAAGAAAAGCAGACATCCGGGGCAAAGATCCCCGGGGTAGAAGCACTGATGTATCCGCTGCGTAACAACGAATACATTTGCGTTATTACCGGATTTCTACGTTGAGTCGTTAAAACGTTGGATGGTGGAATGTTGAACAACCCAGCGAATACAGGGGGTCCACCGCAAGCTATGCAAAAGGGAGCAATCAGCATAGGTTGGAGAACAATGGAAACACACCTTAAGGCTTGGAGAGGCGGTAACAGCCTTAGTCTTGCATCGTCACAACAGAGCCACAAAGCTCCTTCAACGGATGTGGAGCCTCATCTAGCCTCTAAAGGCCTAAAGTGTCACAAGTACATTTTGGGGCCTACATTGCCTAGCAAGAGTCACCATTCTTAAGAACGAAGCGGAGAACCTGACATGTCGGACAGTTCCACACGAGCTTTCACAGCGCTGCGCGACTGTAAGGGATCGCCATGGAGCATAAATCTATCCGTGGAAATGAGGTATTTGAGGCAAACATCGCTGAGTTGGAGCTGCAGTGAGCTAGGTACGTCAGAGGTCTGTTGTAATGAAATTCACGTGATTGAGCGCCCAAATCTGAACCTTCGTGTCCTAGAACGACCAAGGCCGGCGGAATATGACTATCAGAAGAGGAAATGGCTAACGGAGGGAGAGGGTTAACCGGGGAAGAAACGGGGCGAAAGGACGGGGGAAAGGGGAAAGTGCGGGTAATGACAAAGGTAAACTCACGCTGGGCGCTGTAGTTGGTTACACAAGTCGACGCGAACGACGGAAGTGCTGTATTGACCTTCTCAAAGGCCCAGTTCTACGTCCTTCTACTGTTCTAGGCGGTTCACGATGATTTGGGGAACAGTTGACGCCCCAGTAGACCCAAGCGATAAAGATGAGGATAGAATTTTAGAAAAATTATGATGAGATCGAAAATCATCGCAATAGAGACTGCGGGCCCACCGGCGTAAAAACTGGAGGTGTCATATGACGCTGACAGAGAATGTAGAGGGACTGAAATGCAGAGGAACTTGGATGGAGAGCAACCTGAGTGGAATCTCGGAGAAATTTGGCTTGTGACTGGTTTCTCCGTGGGGTTCCACAGTTCCCTTAAGTTATCCACCCGCAGACCGTTTCAATACAAACAGAACAAGGTCAAGCTCAAGCGTGATGAGGAAGTTGTGAGGAAGGTATAATGTGTCACACAGTCAATGTGACCGTGTGACATTAAAACTTCTTCTCCAACACCTCAACACCCTTGCTCAACAGCGTCCTTGCACGTAACTCTAGGATTTGTAGAGACAAGCAAATGCCGCGTAACAAGCAATGTAAGTGACAAAACAGATGCTAGCCTTCCCAATAAGCTGATAATGACTTCCTTTCAGATGCCACATCTTAGCGACGATGTGCAGTCACGGCTACTTACATCACGGAATCATTGTATCAATGATGATACGCAGTTACGATAAGGTGTGTCATTGGTCTCCACTTTCGTCGAAAATATAGCTGAACTTGTTGAACGAAGGAAGGATTCACGAGGATTCAAAGACTCGCATCGTTTGAGGAATCGTTCGAATTTGATTAATTCGGGACGCCCGCAAAGAGCCGGCATACTTTGCGTCCAGGTGAGTTGGACGGTCAGTATTTCGAACTTGAAACTTGGTTTTGACTTATAGAATAGGATAGCCATACATTGATTTCGATGTGATGAACGATTTGGGGAATGGACGTAGAAGGGCCCATAACGACAAAGGTGAGCTTGAAAGATGCGATCAGTCTTTCAAATTTTAACCTGGGTTTGACATCTGACACAAGCCATAGAGCATCGTCGACCTTCGCGTTAGCCTGAGTTTTTGTTGAGTTCACTCCAACGATTCGCGGTTCCGAAGAAATTCGCATTGCTCTGGTTTGCAGAGTGGGCATCCAACTGTTTATAACATACGCAAAGGGGGCAGCGTCTATATAAGCACTCAAAAATTGAGTTTGACGGTTCCGATCAGTTTTCTCCAAGGTGAATTTGACGTCTGACTTCAGTTATAGATGGTTGGTTTCACATACCTCCGCAGCGATGACTGGTGTGCCAGTTCGTAAGATAAAAGGGCGTGCACCCTGAGGCCTCGCATATCTTAAACAAAACTCGGTTCACCCTCACTGTCCCTTCCGTTTTTGAAATACCCACCCTCTTTTTATTACTCATCTCTCAGAAAATGAAATCGCTCGCTATCATTCTTTTAGCCGTGGCTCTGGTCAAATGCGCGCCGACGGTCATCACTCCCCCAGGATGCCTTTTTGGTATGCTTCATCGTTACCCCCGCTGAGCACTCCTCTAACCTATTCTTGCTTAGGGAAATGTGGGTTCGTCAATAGCTCTCTGATTAAAGACTCCCGTCACATCCGTCCTCTCGTACCGTCCGCTATCTTCACACCGAGAATCAAGAGACAAGATGATGATTTTGACTTTGCAGGTAAAGCTCACGGTCTTGCTGATAACCTTCGTACTTATCGTTTCTTCAATGCAGCTGACGACTCCGCAGATTCATCGGGCATCAGCTGGGACGGCTCTAGTGATTTTGTCGACACAACTATACATGACACCATCGATACCCCCGATTCATCTGACACCACTACAGGCGATGACGGCTTTGCAGCTGCTGATGACACCTCTGACGCCCCCGACGATGACGGCCACGACGTCGCTGATGACTCACTCGACACTACCGACGATTCCTTCGACACCGATGGTGGCCCCGTTGACAACACCTCAGCTGGTGCAATCGGAAATGGATTCCCCGATTCATTTGACACCATCGCCGACGATTCACCAGATCCCAGTGATGACGTCGCAGACTCCGCAGACCCCAGTGGCGGAGCGGACCTTATCGACGACAACGTGGACGGCTTGAACGATGTGGACGGTGCTGATGATGGTGACAACCTGGATCCCGATGACGGTGCTGGGATCGGTTCGAACGGGGCTGACGATGGTGCCAGTTTCATTGACGATTTGGGTAAGAACCCGATATCTCGTCTACACAATCACGCTGATCGTAAACTGTAGATGCTCCTGACGGGACTGACGGCGTTGATACGGCCGATGGAACCGATGGCACTGGAACTGATATCACGGACCCCGATGGTACTGATGGTACTGATCCAGCAGCCTCATTCTCTAACGAAGACCCAGCTGACGCCGACGGGAGTTCCACCACACCAGCTGGTCCCAGTTCCACCCCTGACGCTGACCACGCCGATGGTTATGATTCCAGCTCCACCACCCTCCCAGCAGCCACTCAAACTCCCGTAGCGCAAAGTTCTCCTCCCCCCAAAGGTTCTTCATCGCAATCTACTTTGCCTCAGAACCTCCCTCTTGGATCCAACACCCCCACCCGCTGTGCCTCCTCCTCAGGCATCTCCTCCGCCACCGTAAACTTGATCAAGGGTTCCGAAAGCCTCGTCCCTATTCCTTCCCCAGACCCCATCGGGCTCCTCACAGTCGGCTATGGCCACAAATGCCTCAAGCCCCAGTGCTCCGAAGTCACCTTCCCCTTTCCCTTATCCTCTAGCACCGCTTCTCAACTCTTCGCGCAGGACATGACTCAGTATATCAACTGCTTGCATCGTTCCATTAGCAAGTCTGTTGTGCTCAACGATAACCAGTTTGGGGCCCTTGTCTCATGGACGTATAATGCGGGATGTGAGGGGATGGGAACCTCAACTTTAGTCAAGCGATTGAATAATGGAGAGGATCCAAATACTGTTGTTGCGCAGGAGCTCCCTAAGTGGAACATTGCTAAGAAGAAGATTTCGAAAGGGTTGGTCAATAGAAGAAATCGAGAGATCAGCTTCTTCCAAACCCCGTCGAATGTTGTTGCTCACCCACTTTGTTGATTGTTTCTATTTTGAAATCCTTTCTACCAGTTGTGACGTCTACGTCAGTAGACTCGAAACTATTATGCATTATTCTCCGACCTTTCAGCTAATCCTGTCTAATTCATTGGCTTGTGATTCAAGGAAGGTATATAGTTAATAATTCCAGTGGTTTTGAGATATTTCCCATGGGGCCGAAGAGACACCCCAAGATCAACGTCGATGACATTTGGTAATCTGAGTCAGGCAAGTCACTTCTGAGTCCCTATATGAGAGCCGTCGCTTTTACAGATGCTCTGCAAACTAGCCAACCCCCAGGCGGAAAATTCAAACGCTTGAACGGAAATCCGTGTTGTGGCTATTTCAATTTGTCATTTCACGGATAGATCTATTTTTGGGAGCTATTACCCCTTGATATTGAATGACCGAGTGTTGATTCAACTCATTTCAAATATTGTCGCAAAGGTGTTTGCACTACTTGAACAAGGACTGAACAATGTAAACTCCTAGTTCAGTTCACGGTCTGTTGGTCAATTTACAAGTTGTATGATACAGATGGGTCGCACGACGCAGGACGTTACTTTACCACACCAAGTCACTCGGCGGGAATAGGAACCTTCACAGCTATCGTGGTGTAGAAATCTAGCGACTCGGCAGTATACGGGGGGTATCGCCTTGCAAAGAAAGACTCCGCGCTGTTATAAGTAATTTTGAGCAGAAAAAGGTTAGGAAGTTTGAAAAACTGACTCTTTCGGAATGTCAACGACACCCTTCTTATAGGAGAAATCTTCAAACCCATGGATCATGGACTGTCGACCGTCTAGAATACCATGGTCAGGGAAAAAAAATTGTTATGAGAAAAAGGCCTACATCCAGACTCCCCTACTCCTCCGAATGGTAATGCAGTTACTGCATAAAAGATAAGGTTTGCGCATTCATGTAGGGTTCCTTGACTTACCTGATACTTGCTGGAATGTGTCGTTAAAAGTCACGCCGCCGGAAGTCGTCTTGTTGATCACTGAGAAATTTCAGGATGAGATACGCTATCAAAAGACTAAATTCGCATTGACCTTCTTGCTTAATCTCCTCGTTGTCTGTGAATACATATAGCGCAAGAGGATGATCCCTTTCAAATAGGTTTAAGCACAGGTTCAACCGTGAAATATGGAATGAACCTGGAGTTGATAAATTCTATGGCTTCGGAGATGCTCTCGACCGAAATTATGGGGAGAATGGGCCCAAATAATTCCCTTTCGTCATGTAGTATTAGACTGAGGAGATAAAATAAGCACGAGTACTCACTCCTCCAATAACGAATCACAATCTTTCACATCTATGACCACAGTCGGTTCCATAGCATGCTTTCCAGTGCCATTCGCCCCTTCAGACCGTCCGCCTATCACTACGGTGCCCTTCGTTCGATTGAGCAGAGATTTAAGTCTCTCGGCGTGCGCCTCAGAAATCAGACGGCCATAGGTCGAAGCCGGATCCAGGGCTCCTTGCGGAAAGAGGGCACAAATTTGTCGCTTGAAGGCCTCCACAAGCGCAGGAACGGCCGAGGAGACGGTAAGTACGTAGTCAGGAGCGACACACGTCTATTTCATATGTCAGCCGGTCATCAATCGTTTGGAGGATCCAGCATCACCTGTCCGGAATTATTAACTTTCCCCCACATGATCCGCTTCGCAGCAAGAGCAATATTGGTGGCTGGATCAATGATGACGGGGGATTTCCCGCCGAGTTCAAGTGTGAGGGGAGTAAGGTGTTTCGCTGCAGCAGCAGCAATGATGCGAGCCACTCGGCCATTTCCTGTGTAACAAATATGATCCCCTATAAGATAATCAGACTGAAAGCAAACATAATGAAAAGTAAGGAGACGAGTCACATTTGAGTTCCAGGACTTTGGTCATTTCAGGGATAGCCCCTTGAATGACGCTGTAAGCTGCTGGATCGAGGTACTTCGGAAGTAGCTCGGCGAAAAGGGTGGAGAAATGTGGGGAGAGTTCAGACGGCTTCACTGCAGCGCAGCAGCCTGCAGCTATCGCGCTGGAAAGCGACTGAATACTGAGAATGACGGGATAATTCCAAGGCCTGCCAGTGTGCATAAAGGTTAGGAAATGAGGAGCGAACACCTTCGGATTGACGCACACAATGATGAGAACGACGCCTTTGGGGGAATGATGATACCTCGCCTTCCAACTCTTCTGGTAATCTGGAACTTCAACTTCGTGGTCTTTCGTCCACTCGCTCAATTTTTCCGCGTTGAGTAAGCAATGTTGAATTGAGCCGCCAACCTCTATAAGGTATACCTCTTGTTTGGGCCGCCCGAGATCTACACTCAACGCTTCAGCGAAAAGTTCGACATTGTCTTGGAGTAAACGAGCGAGCTGGAGGAGTTGCTGACGACGCCAAGAGATGGGCTTCGTCACGCCACTACGAAACGTCGTCCGTAATGTGCTGTGAATCTGTGGACGGGGGTGTTTATGGCGGTCCGTTTGGGTAAGTATTCCCAGAGTTCATATGTCGGCGCGGAAAAATGTATGTTGTGCGCACAACTATTTGTAGTGTTGCGCGAAAATACAGTCACTGCGCAGAATCATTAGTATACTTGCGCAGAATTAAGTTCAGTGCGCGCAAATGTTGATTGTGCACGGAAAAGTTGATATGTGTGCGCAAAAATACATTTGGTTGCGCAGAAACTTTTACTACATGCGCGGAAACTTATTGACAGATTTATGAGGTGCCCAGAAATATTATCAGTGCTGCAAAAATTATTATTTGTGCGCGGAAATTACTGGTTCCCTTGCGCGGATTCTTTGGTTTCCTACCATTTTAGGAATGCCGTGGTGCTGTGGTTGGGTAATTGATCCTGTAAGCGGAGTTTAAAATGTAACAATATCGCTTTATGAATATTATCTTCGCCAATCTGAGTCTAAAATATTACAATATCTTTTTATGAATATTACCTTCACCAATCTTATCTTATAATATCTTATCTGCGTCACTGATCTGAGGATAAAAGGTCAAAACAAAAAACATTTATTGCCTCACACATGTGAGGTGTAAAGATAAGTCCTGATTTAAGCATAGTGAGACATAGAGGTAAGCATAGTGAGTTATAGAGTCAGGTAAGCAGATAGTCCAAAGTGATCAAAGTATGACAAGGAGTGGAAAAGGTAAGACATTCAGGAGCTGGTTGAACAACATGGTATGGGTGGTACCATCGCACTAAGATACCTCCATCTTATCCTCAGTTTTCTCGACCTTCTGTATCCAAGCTCCCCTTTCCAAACCATTGGTTGGGCTTTCTCCCTGGCACCATCGAAAGCCCTCAGGAAGTGTGTAAGTCGCACTCCATGGGCAGTCTTCGCACTTGAGAATGCTTGGTTGCTGTCTCGTAGACTTGGGAGATGTTTTGAAGCCACTACATTCTGGGCACTGGATCGAAGCTGGAGTATCGTTGCCCATTGGGCGAGCACCTGGGTGTGTCCATCGAAATGTGGTAATGGCGTTTGGTTGGAATAAAACAACGTCGGTATGAGCCCCAAGGGCTTGTTGCTCTCGAAGGACATTGATTAGGCCAATCCGATCATGAACATAGTTCTGCAGAGCCAAGTCCATCACAAATTTATGGGTGGATGACGGCTGGAAGTTAGGTTGCGAAAAACAGAGAATTTTGTCGAAGAGGTCTCTGAGAAATAAATGTCAAAATTCATCTTTCATATCATGGATAAAAACATACTTAGCAGCTATGCCTTTTACAGCATCCCTGGAGTCAGGCCGACTTGATAGGGCCCCGCAAGACAGCAAATTCAGAATATTTTTCCTTTTCTCCCTTTTTAACAGATTACAGAAACGCTCTGGAAAAAGAACCGCCCACAGCTGCAATGGAACATAATAGATTAGAATAGTGGCCAAGAAACAAGATATACTGACCTGATCAACAGGTGCTGCACTTTTATTGTTTGGGGCTGTGTGCAGGTCCCCTGATTCTGGAACAGAGTGTGTCGTAATAACAACCAAGAACCGAGTCCACCTGATTGAAATATTAGCTTCAGAGAAACAATGTTGAAGTCACATACTCCTTGAAGTCACCATCTTCAAACTCTTGAAGCATGTTTTCCAACTGGGAGTTGAAATGCTTTCTTGGCTTGTTGAAGTTGAACGTCAAATTTACGAGTACCAGATTGCCGTGAAGATAAGGGGCTAAATGGTGGTAGGTGAGAATGGATGGTGAGTCTGTCATCCCCTCAAGGTGAATTGAGATGATAGCCAAGGGAGTTGTGTTCATCTTTGGCCAGTTTTCTCTACCTGCACCACGGGATCGGAATTTCCATGGCTAAGCCCAAATAAATATTAGTGAGAAGGAAATTAAATCAAAAACATACATAGGAGACCAATTTTCCGGCTCTTTTGAAGCAGGGAGGACATACAAAACCATCCTTCGTTCCAAAATCAATGCATACAGAGCAGATGCCAATGATTTTGCAGGTTGTGCACACAGCTAAATCACCACCATCTCGACATCCGCTGCACCACTGAATAATTTCCTCAGTGAGATAAATAGAAGCAAATATCACAACTCACAATCACGGGGGGTAACCGATCACCAGAGGTTGTGAAGAGTAAATTTTCATTGCTGGAGAAATTTTGAGTCTTATGCCCACTGGAGTCCTCAGCGATCATTGAAGCTTCCTCAAGAAGAGAAATTCGGGGAGCAGGGGCGCCACAGGCATGTTTTTTCGGTGCATAGTTGACTGCTTTGCTGGGTTTCGGTGCATAGTTGACTCCTTTGCTGGGTCGGAGGTTACGAGTAGACATAGAAGTGATGCAGGATTTCGATGAAAACAGGTTTGTTATATATCAAAGTCATTACATAGCCTTATATCACAAGAACATAGTGATTACATTGCCTTGTATCAAGAACACAGCCATCGTGATATAGCCTTCCATACATAGCCATTTTCAAACATCTATCTTTGTTGATGTTGCTGTGCATCATTGTCGTCACAGCTGTGCGTCATCATCAACACAGCCATGCATTGTCAACATCACAGCTTGACTTCCAAAGGTCCCAGGATGCGAGAAGCATGTCCATTTAACTGGTATACCTATTATTATACTGTAGCTGTGTGTAGGGTACCAACGGCCTCGGCAGCATTACATCCTGAATTGATGTACCTTTAGCAACCAGGCTCATGTTACACGTTACGAGCCCAAAATAAGCAACCATTCATCCTGGCTGAGCACTCACAGAGCACTCAGGCTGAACACTCACAGAGCGCTCAGGCTGAACAACCATGGCATTACCAACCGGGCCTCTGTTACACGTTACATCATGGAAATAGTTGGTACCATACACACAGCTACAGTACATACAGAAAAACTAAAGGGGGGGCAGCATCGTCATCGTCGCCGTAGAACCTACCCCTCGTCAAACACCCATTGGGCCGGCCACCACCTGCATACGAGGCGGTAACCGTAGACACACATCACATACGAATGCGTGTCCTGTGGGGTCGATGTGTGGGCATTCGTCGTCTTCGTCGCCGTCCCCACATCCCACAAAGAGGGGGGGCCAGCGTCGTCGTCGTTGCGCCCACATCTGGCATGTATCATCCTCGTCACCATCCAGCTGTGCCCACATCCCTCAAAGAGGGGAGGGGCATTCGTCATCTTCGTCGCCGTCCCCACATCCCTCAAAGAGGGGGAGGGGCCAGCGTCGTCGTCGTTGTTGCAGCCACATCCGGCATGGATCGTCCTCGTCGCCGTCCAGCCGTTTCGTCGTCTTCGTCGCCGTCCCTACATCCCTCACAGCAACGTTGTCGCCGTCGTCAGCAAACACCGTCGCCGTCGTCAGCAAACACCGTCGCCGTCGTCAGCAACATTGTCGCCGTCGTCAGCAACGTTGTCGCCGTCGTCGGCAAACACCGTCACCGTCATCAGCAATGTTGTCGTCGCCGTCGCCACGAACGTTGTCACCACATCCACGTTGTTGTTGGCAAGACATTGGGGGAGGCGGAGTGGCGGGCAGAAGATGTTGAGAGGGGAAGCCGTGGTTGTCGTCCTTTCATTCGCGTGGTGCTGATAGGAATGGGAAACCGTGGTCGTCGTCCTCATTCGCGTGGTGCTGATGTGACAGATATCCCCCACACTCGAGAACCCCCGAAGAACACCCATTGGGCCGGCCACCACCTGCATACGAGGCGGCAACCGTAGACACGCATCGCATACGGATGCATGTCTTGTGGGGTCAACGTTGGGGGAGGTGGTGTGGGGGAAAGAATGATGGTTGAACGTGGAAGAAAGAAACACGAATCAAAATATCAACACGTATTTGCTTGTTTGGCTAACCTTTGTTTATCCAAACAGAGTCAATAAACAAAGATTTGTTTCGTGAATACTTAATACTATTGCCTCGCAATAACAACAGTGCGAATTGTTAAACCAATTCTAACTGATAGATAACATATTATAGACTACTCAACAAAAAAAACTAACTGAAACGACTTCAGGAACATATCTTAATAAGTCTGTCAACATGAGTGAACAGCGAAAAAAAGAATTGGTTAACCAAAATAACCTAACTCTACCAGCCCTTATATAGGAAAGTCTCCAAATGTAGGTGATCATTTCATTATAACTTGTTGAATGATTTGCTTATTTACCACTTCAGGACCTTGCATTTTTGGGAGAATTACAACATGGTGTCTATGACGATGAATGTGAGGGTCTTACAGAGGAAGAGATCAATGCATTTTACGGCTTTGCGGAGGATGGAGAATCACTAGATCTTGATGGAACATCTGATCAGGGATCGGAGGACTCGGAGGACTCAGAGGACTCGTATGAGTATGACAATGAGGAGCACAATGAACCAGGATCTGTGGACAATGTAATTAATCTGAATTTTATGACTTATTGACGTAAACTGACTGTTCATTAGATGCACAATGAACAAGGGTCTGAAGATGACATGGATTTGGATTCGGACCATGACTCCGACACAAAGGTTTCCGATCATGACTTCGACACAAAGGTGTGCTTTTCATGAAATTATAGACATGATCCATGATCTGACTTAGCATTGCAGGGAATTGATGCTAATATCCGACATGAGGCCATTCCAGTTCCCTTGGGATCTTGTCCATTCGATCAAGAAGGGCTGGACTTGTTTGAAAGCGGATTGAATTTATTAAAAGAGAGTGGTGAGCTTCCTGCCGGCTATGGAGTGACTCTAGATGAATTAGACGGAAATGAATTTGATGAAGAGGAGACAATTCAAGTCGGTATTAACAAAAATGGCCATCTCATGGCACTTCCACACCAAATTTGGAAACCTCGAACAGAATTATGGGTGCAAGGACTGTTTGTCATGACTAGTATTTTATCAGTGTCGAATTAATTTTTTATTTATCATGGTATTTAGTATATACATGTGGAACTTCATCGAGTATCAGAATCATCCCCTACCGTTTCCTTCGCCATGGCTCGCCGTTCATCGGGGAAGAGAAAGGCTAGCACACCTCCTTCAGCACGTTCCGCATCCCTTTCTGCTGATGAGAGCGACACTGTCTCCGATAACACCAAACCGGTGGCCAAAAGGCTTCGACTGACCTCTCCGGCACGTGTGAAGCAGGCAGCTTTGGCCAAGGTGGCAAGTTCCTCCAAGTCTGGTTCCTCGTCAAAGGGATTGGCTGGGTTTGCTGCCTTGATCAACAGTTCAAGCCTCTCTGCTGCCCGCAAGGAGACGAATCAGGGTCTTCGGTCAGGCTCCTCGAAATCGTCTCGTGGTCCATCGAAAGCTGCAGCAGGCAAAGTGGTATAATTTGTCTGTTCATGTAATGCTAAACACTGATCTTACCCATTATTTAGGATGATACGATCTTTTCTGTAGGAACGATTGTTTTCCTTATTGTTGGTGTTATGGCGGTATGTGTTTTGTTTTTTATCACTCATATTTTTATTCTGATATATTCCGATTATGTAGAATAAGGCAGCAAAACTTGACGATGCCACATCTTTTCTTCCAGCCTATGCTCTGCAATCTGATGTCGACATCTCTTCAGTCGCTCTGACTGGAATGAAGCAATCGGGCCTGTGTGTAACGAAGAGTTCTGGCTTCGATTTTCACCCAGATGACTCCTATCCAATTCTCGACACCAAGCTTCAGGCCCTTTTCCCTAAGCTATTCACATGGCTCTGGAAAGCGGAACCTGATGACGCTACTACTTCTTCCTGGCTAATCTGCATGAAACCTCCTCGTAGGAACCTCGCTGTATATTCTGATGACCGATTGCCCACTGGTATGGACATTATTGACGCTTGTAAGCTTGCAAATACCAAGGTTGGTGTCTCCCACCGGACACTCTTTCTGGGTGAGCTTCATTTCATCATATTTTTTGAGTAGCATGGATGCTAATTTTCTACCTATGCTAGTAACTCGTTATCCTGTTCCTGCAGCAACACTCCTTGAGTGGAAACCACGAATTTCATTGGCCCAGGACCCTGTCGTTAACAAAGACTCAGATGTCGATGACACTGATAATGACACCCCCAGCCCTACACTCAGCGCCATCCCCTTACCCTGCACCCAACGATCTTTGCGACCTCGCCATGTCAGGAGTGAAGATGAGGTAGAACAGGATATAATCAGCATCTCAAGCATGTCCGGTACGAAATTCAATTTCAGTGTTTAAATTCACAATTTAACTGTACATTTGTTGTTATAGATGGTGAATCGTCAGCCCCAGCACCTAAGATCCCTATTCCTGTCACCAAGGCCCCCACCATTTCATCCATCGAGGTGATGCAGGATTTCTTTCACTCGTCCTTCAATTTTGACAATGAGGAGAATCCTTGGGTCCCTAGAGCGTAGATACCACACCATAGTCACCATTTCCATTGAGGCGAGCATGACCTACATTCATTTTTAATCACATCGTAATTCCAACTATGCTACATTCTTTTTCCACCCAATATAATGTTCATCCAATATCGTGGTGGCCCCAATAAATTGAGACAATAATATATTGTTACATTTTAAACTCCGCCTACAGTGCCGAGGCTGCCAACAATACATCAATTACCTAATCACGGCACCACGGCATACTTAAAAAGGTAGGAAGCCAAAAAATCCGCACAAGGGTCTCAGTAATTTCCGCGCACGAATAATATTTTTTGCGGCACTTGATAATATTTCTGGGCACCTCATAAATCCGTCAATAAGTTTCCGTGCATGTAGTAAAAGTTTATGCGCAATCAAATGTATTTTTGCGCACACATGTCAACTTTTCTGTGCACAACTAACATTTCTGCGCACTGAATTTATTTCTGCGCAAGTACATAAATATTTTCGCAACACTACAAATGGTGACTTGAATTCTGCGCAACATTACAAAAAAAATTGCGCACAACATAGACTTTTGCGCGCCAACATGTACATTAAGGGAATACTTACCCAAACGGACCGCCATACTTAATATCATTCTACGGCTTTCCGTTCTCCCTCCGTGATCTTTTCTTCCCCCTCATTGACATCATTATACTAATGTCAATCTTCTTACGAAGCGTCACGAATACTCGCGCTCCGCTAATCCCGATCATATGGCAGTTGTTCTGCACATTTAATCCCCGCACGCAACTTTCCGAGCGCGCACGCAACTTTCGACCAGCGCGCAACTTTTGGATGCTAAATTCGGTTGTTTGGTCTAGCATTTCTCATGCAACGTCACCCAAGCAATCCTCAACATTGTCCCGAAGTCTCTCATCGTCGTTGAACACGGCGAGCTCACATAGTGTACATCTATTTATTGCCTAAATCTTCTTTTCTCTGTTCCAACTTCAAAATATTATGTAGAGTATAATTGCAGAATCTATTGTATCAAATAATTTGCATTGAAACTAAGGTACAAGCTCATTGTGCTTGACAGCAAGCGGCATATGTTCGTCAACGTGTGACAGCGTAGAAGGTTTGACGTTGCGTGAGAATAAATTCCATCATCAGGATCGGAATTATCCGAAAATTATCGGCTTGATCATTGCCAACTACCAAATCCGGTACTGGTTCTCACCATATCCCTCGAGCCACTGTTACTCTCAAGTATTTTGTTATTTATACTGTAATTTAGTGTGTCATGTATGTTATTTGATAGAAAGGTAGTATCATAGTATAGCAATGAGAATATAGGGGGCACTTTACATGGAGGATGGTGCATGGAGGAGACATACTACTCATCAGTTACATCACCAGTCTTGCCAATAACCTTCATTACTATGTATAACAACTGATTCACATGCTACAGGATACCCTTTGGTCCAAGCAGATGGCCTGGGGATGACTATAAGAATTAATATGAAGGAGATGAATAGAAATCAGTGAAAAGTGCGAAATTGGCATACTGTGACCTGGTCATTTTAGATAAAAATTATATGAAGTGGTAGAAGGTAGGGCTGGGGTAGCTAGAGGGTGGTTTAAAAGGAATTACATGTAAGAGTTGATGCCTTTACATAGTCGGAAGTTGCGCCGTGCGGTCGAATTTAGCATCCAAAAGTTGCGCGCTGGTCGAAAGTTGCGTGCGCGCTCGGAAAGTTGCGTGCGGGGATTAAATGTGCAGAACAACTGCCAT